TGCCAGTTAATAAATGCAAAAGGAATTATAAAACTAGAAAATTATAAAAAAAGACCAAGGAATTATTTCAGAATAAAGGAAATTAAAGGGACATGACAGCTAAATGCATTCTGGAACCTTTCCTGTGCAGGGAAAAAAAATACACGTCACAGTATATTTTATAAAGATATTATTGGAATAATTATTGAACTGTGACTATGTTCTTTGGACTAGGTAACAGTATTGTATCAGTGCTAAATTTTCTGATTTTGATAACAACCGTGATAAAGTAAGATAATGCCCTTGTTTTTACAAACTCAGACAGAAATATTTAGGGATAAAGAAGCATAATATCTCCGTCTTTCTCTCAAATAGTTAAGAACAATATGAATATAGATATAAACATATGTAGAGGAAAAATGGTAAAGCAAATGGGACAAAGTGTCAACAATTGGTAAATCTAGGTATATGGGAGTTCTTTGTATTATTCCCGTAATTTTTTTCTTGCATGATTGAAATTATATCAAAATAAAGGGACTGAGACAGAAATTCAGAGAATGAAAAGATTAATCACTTACAATGCCACTACTCCAATAATTTTCCTATATTCATTTTTCCACATTGCTTCCTCTAGTCCTTTTTGATTGGCATGCATACAGTTGTAATCATTACATAGAACAATTTTAGCCAGGTGCAGTGGCTCACACCTGTAATCCTAACACTCTGGGGGGCCGAGGCGGGAAGATCACTCCAGGGCAGGAGTTAGAAAACAGCCTGAGGAAGAGCAAGACTCCGTCTCTACTAAAAATAGAAACAAATTAATTGCCCAACTAAAAATATATAGAAAAAATTAGCCAGGCATGGTGGCGCATGCCTATAGTCCCAGCTACCCGGGAGGCTGAGGCAGTAGGATCACTTAAGCCCAGGAGTTTGAGGTTGCTGTGAGTGAGGCTGACACCACGGCACTGTAGCCTGGGCAACAGAGTGAGACTCTGCCTCAAAAAAAAAAAAAAAAAAAAAAGAAACAATTTTTACTTCCTTTTTTTTCTTTAGCAACCTGAAATCCTCCAAAAGAAACAATTTTTACTTCTAACATTTAACTTCTTATATCACCTAGGATCTTCAAATAGCACCCATTAGGTTAAACTTTCAAGCTAACTTAATTTCCCATCTTAAAAAATTGGAACAATCCAAATATGCCTCAACTAAGGAATGGGTAAACAAACTGGTACATCTGTACAATGGAATGCTACTGAGCAATAAAATGGAACAAATCACAGATATACACAATAAGTGGATGAACCTAAAACGCATTATGCTAAATTAAAGAAGCCAGACTCAAGCCGGGTGCGGTGGCTCACGCCTGTAATCCTAGCACTCTGGGAGGCTGAGGCGGGCGGATTGCTCGAGGTCAGGAGTTCGAAACCAGCCTGAGCAAGAGCAAGACCCCGTCTCTACTATAAATAGAAAGAAATTAATTGGCCAACTAATGTATATATATATATAAAATTAGCCGGGCATGGTGGCGCATGCCTGTAGTCCCAGCTACTCGGGAGGCTGAGGCAGAAGGATTGCTTGAGCCCAGGAGTTTGAGGTTGCTGTGAGCTAGGCTGACGCCACGGCACTCACTCTAGCCTGGGCAACAAGCGAGACTCTGTCTCAAAAAAAAAAAAGAAGCCAGACTCAGAGGCTTTTTAATTCCATTCAAAAAAGTAATGCTTATAGACTGATCTACCTAATGTATGATATAATCACATGATCTTTTGCCAAAATTCATATTCTACAGGACAAGTTCCAAACTCCTGAGTGTGATATAAAATAAAATTTTAAGGCTCACCCCCCTACCGATGGACTGAATGGACCCCCTCATGGCCAAGGAATATCCTAAAACTGGATTGTCTGCCAGGAGGAGGGAGGTCAGACATGCCTCATCATGCCCCTCTCCCTTCTTGGAGACATCCTTTGTAACCCATTAACAGACCTAAGTGTATGCAAGACAAACTTCAGGTCCTCAATTTACATAACAATTATATGTCTGGTGGCTTATCTCTGATAACAGCTCCAATGTTAAAACATTCTAAGCCTTTAGACAAAGCTTCTCATCTTTAACCAATTACAAGCCAGAGAATCTTTAAACCCACCTATATTAGAAAAATGTCTACCTTACCTAAAAAAAAAAAAAAAAAAAAAAAAAAAAACCCACCTATAACCTGTAAGCCCCTGCTTCAAGATGGTCCACCTTTTTGGGCCGACCCAATGTATGCCTCCCATGTACTGATTTATGACTTTACCTGTAACCCCTGTCTCCCTGAAATGTATAAAACTAAACTGTAACACAGCCACAGCGAGTCCACTTGCTCACGGCTTCTTGGGCGTGGCTCTGGGTCATGGTCCTCAAATTTGGCTCAGAGTAAATCTTTTTAAAATTGTTTTACAGTTTTGGCTTTTTTGTTGTTGTTGACATGAGCATAGTATTTGAAGTGTCTTGAAGCATAATCTATTGTTACTGTCACCTACATAGTACTGACTCTGTCCCTCTACCCAAGCACCCACAAAATAATCTACCCTCTACCCACACAGCACAACCTCTCACCAAACCTTCCTGTATTTTAAAATCTCTATACCTATGAACATACTAACAAGGCCCTTCCCCTACCCTTCTGCTGGGCAATCCTAGTCATCCCAGTTCAAATTCACTTTCTTCATAATCATTTCTTCCTCTGAGCTTCAACAGCATTTTGAAAAAAGTATGTCTGTCTTCCCTGCACACTTGGAGGAACCATAATTGTGAGTAGGGGCAGACCTAACATGTAGCAGTTGCTCCAAAGTGAGCTAAATGAGTAATTAAGAAAATCAGATTATGTACAATGGGTAGCTTAAAATTACTTTGTTTAAAACCAAACCACAACCACATTTTAAGACTATATTTGCACCATCAGAGTTAAGTTCTATCACTAAACCAATAATATCTGCAATATTTCAAGCCAATTTCTTATTAGTCATTAATATAACTTCTGAATTGTTTTCATGCTTCTGCCTTCCCAGAAATATCAACTCTGGTTAATGTGAACTGTTCTTTCTCCCAATTATTTAGTCACCTGAAAATAAAAGAACTATGGGGATTCTACCTATAAAATAGACTCTATTACCCAAAACTCATAACTTTCTACTCTGAGGAAATTTGGCAGTTACACTAATATGATGTCTATGGTAGTTCTTTATAGTTTGGCTTTTTTTTTTTTTTGAGATAGAGTCTCATTCTGTTGCCCGGGCTAGAGTGCCATGGTGTCAGCCTTGCTCACAGCAACCTCAAACTCCTGGGCTCAAGCGATTCTCCTGCCTCAGCCTCCTGAGTAGCTGGGACTACAGCCATGTGCCACCATGCTTGGCTAACTTTTTCTACATATATTTTTAGTTGGCCAATTAATTTCTTTCTATTTATAGTAGAGACGGGTCTCCCTCTTGCTCAGGCTGGTCTCAAACTACTGACCTTGAGCGATCCTCCCACCTCAGCCTCCGAGAGTGCTAGGATTACAGGCATAAGTCACCACACCCAGCCTATAGTTTGGCTTTTTACTAAGGATTTTCAACTCCAAATATGAACTGGATGGAATTTCAGAGGTCACTCCAAAAGCAATGAATCTAATTTAGGAGGAAACAAGATTCAACACCTTTCATTCCAACTTAATAAACATTTACTCACTATAAGACAGATTCTAAGAACAGGAGAAGTTACAGTCGTAGGCCTCAAGGATTTCCCATAATAAAGGGAATAAAAAGAAGCTAGATACACTGCAACCAAACAAAAACTGGATAGTATCCCAAAAGGTACAAAGTGCTGTGGATATTCAAAGAGAGATGGTACTTGGGATGGGCTTTAAAACAAAGACACAATTTTTACAGCAGAAGTGATATTCTGGGCAGAGAAAGAAGGGTGGAAGAAACTCAAGAGCTTGTAAAAGGTAAGAACATAACAGATCCAATAAGCATATCTTTTGTGGAAAATAAAGTATGAATAAATGATTAAATAATTTCCAAGAATTTTGAAAGAAAAAAAGGAGTCAATTAATGTTAAAATCTACAGCAGGGTTAAATAGAGTAAGGAGGGGAAATAGAGCTGGTGGCCTTACTTGGTAAGGTAAGAAATGGTGAGGTAAGAAGTTAGACTGTGAGGTGTTTCAGCTTAGAAAAAAAAGATGGCTCAATATAAAAGGCTCATCATGAAAGAGAATAATTAAGGCAAAGAGAAAAACAGATCTTTACAATATCGAAGACCTGAACATGTTTGCTAACTGAGGGCAAGGAGTCAATGGAATGAGAAATATAGAAATGTTCAAAAGAGAGTATATATAATACTTGAAGCAGAGTTACACAAAGTGGTTGGAAACAAAAGCATGCAAAGAGGAAAGCCGGGCCTTGGAAAGGAAGGGGGACTTTCTTCCTCTGGGAAAGAGGTGCACTTCTGTGACAGATGAGCAAGGAAAGTAAGGGATCCCGAGAGGGCATGGGAAAGAGAGTACCTGGAAACTTTGAGGAGCACAGACATTTGAAGCAGAGAAAGTCAACAAGAGACAAAAAGAATTCTAGCAGCAATGTGGGCTCAGCTAGATTCAGAAACATAAATTTGCAAAGATCCAATCAGTACATTTGATGACTTTCTCTAAACCACCTCAGAACCCGGGAGGCTATGAGGAGAAAGCAAATTGCAGTAAAAGAAATCAAAAAGTGACTCACCTAAATTATTCAGGTTGGAAGAACTGAGACCAGTCCCCAGCCAGCTCAGGCTTCTAGTTCAGCACTCTCATTTGAATAAGCTGCCTCCTTTTTTATCAAAATTTTCCTGAAGATAGTTAAATTTAAAAGCTAATGGCCAGTTTTAAAGCCATGTTATTAAAACAATGTAATGAGATACCTTTCTTTGAATACTAAGATAATAAAATCAGAATCTCTTGCATGCAAAACATCAACTGTGAATAGTTAGAAAGATTAATTTGACAGACATAACTCAGAATGCCACTTACCTGGCAGCTTCGGGAAAACCCATCTTGTAGATCGTTACAACCGCAGCTCCTCCAAGGCCTAAATTATGCTGCAGAGCCACCTTTGCACCAGGAACTTGCCTCATTCCGGCTTCCCCTCTCAGCTGCCAGCAGAGTTCAGCACACTGGGCCAGACCTAACAAATCGAACACAGAGAGTCAAGAGTAGGCCGGTTTAGAAAGCAGCCTCAACCACCTTTCTCAAGCCAGAAAGGGTTTATGCTTAATCATACTTTTAATTAAAGCACTGGATTAAGCTGAGACCATGTTTGCCTAAATAATTTCTCTTACAGCACTGAAGGCTTTTGCAGCTATTCTCTCCCTAAGTAATCTCTGTATTAAGAGAGATATCCAGGCTTAGGAAATTCCCTACGCTCTTTAAACTAACTCAACCTGCTGTTCTCTGGCATTTTGAAAGAGAAAACACTGCATATACAATTCTCTGGCCTGGGAAAAATGACTTTTTTTTTTTTTTTGTATCTAAAGAAAATAAACAAGGATTTGGGAGTTCACTTTCCCTCAAAAATTTTGGGATATGGGGAATGTTTCCTATTATTTTCCCCAAGTAGTTCCCAATAAGAAAAGCTCTGGATTCACAAGAATAACATTCTGTCCCCTGGATAATAAAATCAAAGACTTCTGGAGCTGAAAGGAACCTAATGATATAAACACTAAGAAACAGAAAGGTCAAATAATCTGTAAATGGTCACAAAGTAGGATAATTCCAGAGCTGGGATTACACATCTCCAGATTTGCATTTGTTTATCTCTCTACCAGACTAGCTATTGAAGGATAGCACAGTTAAGAATGTTCTATCTGGGCCTGGTGGGTGGCTCACGCCTGTAATCCTAGCACTCTGGGAGGCTGAGGTAGGAGGATTGCTTGCTCCAGCCCAGGAGTTTGAGGTTGCTGTGAGGTAGGCTGATGCCAAGGCACTCTAGCCCAGGCAACACAGTGAGACTCTGTTTCAAAAAAAAAAAAGAATGTTCTATCTGGATAGACTGGTTTTACCTTCCTGGGACACAGTTCTGCACGCCCACTACTTACAGTGCCTATCCTTCCACCCACACCCCCAACTACCACTTCTGATTCCTGTGATAATTTCATATATTAACTTCAACCTCCCTAAGATATTTAACTGCTATTTTTCATTTCTAAGCACTGTCTATTTTTTCAAAGAATATATATCTCAAACACTTTTAGAATAGGTAGCTCCACACCTTGTAATGATTTTTTGAATTGTAAACATTTTGAAAATCAATGAGGAAGGTCAAACTGAAATGATTCTATTATATCCAAACTTTGGGGCAATCAGTTTTACTAGAAATGTGCTTTGCAAAAAGCCTAATTGAGCCTGGCGCAGTGGCTCACGCCTGTAATCCTAGCACTCTGGGAGGCGAGGCGGGCGGATTTCTCAAGGTCAGGATTTCGAAACCAGCCTGAGCAAGAGCGAGACCCCGTCTCTACTATAAATAGAAAGAAATTAATTGGTCAACTAATACATATATAGAACAAATTAGCCGGGCATGGTGGCACATGCCTGTAGTCCCAGCTACTTGGGAGGCTGAGGCAAGAAGATTGCTTGAGCCCAGGAGTTTGAGGTTGCTGTGAGCTAGGCTGATGCCACGGCACTCACTCTAGCCTGGGCAACAAAGCGAGACTCTGTCTCAAAAAAAAAACCAAAAAACAAAAAGCCTAATTGAATATGTAAGACAAAAAGTATTCAAACTGTACTTGGATATACATGGGTGAGGAAATACTACCAGTTACCTTCACAAAAGAGTAAATAGACTTGTTTTACAACTATTTGAGAAAACAACTTCACCATTGATCAAATCAAGCAGATACCATTTTAAACCAATCAAATTGGTAAGGATGTTTAAAAATGGGAATAATCAATGCCGGAGAGACTATGGCAACAGCCACCTTCATACAGTACCGGTGAAAGTTTAAACCAGCACAACCTTTTTGGAAAGCAATGCACTAAAAGTCTTTAAAATATCTTGAAAACCATTCTATGGAAATAATCAAGCATAGGCAAAGTTTTACACACAAAGCTATCTGCTCGTCACATTGTTTTAACAGTGAAAAACTAGATAATCTAAAACTGAAATAAGCTGGGTGTGGTTAGACAAATTACGAGCTATCCATAAAGGAAAAGCAAACTCTTTTTTCTCTCTACATTCTTCTCAACACACACTACACTTCTGCGACCAGATTTGGGGGGCGATGTGTTCCCCACACAGCAAGCCAATTATTTGCTGAACACCAACTGCATGTCCTATAATTCAATTCAATTATGACACTATCTATCTGGACATAATGTCAGGTCCCATGCATTAAGAGCACAGTACCACAAGACTGCTCTCACTTCAGATGCCAATCCCAAGTCCTGGTCACCTGTGCTTTTGACTGACTGGTTACAAACCAGGGGTTCCCACAATCCCCTCTCTCAAGGGTTCAATTAATTTGCTAGAATGGCTCACAGAACTCAGGAAAAGACTTACCGTTCGCTTGCTTATTATAAAGGATTCAGATGAAGAGGTATTTAGAGTGAAATCCAGAAGGGTCCCACACACAGGAGCTACTGTCCCCAAGGAGAAGGGGTGCATGCACTACCCTCCGAGTGTTGCTGCCCAACCAGGTTCATTTGCCCACTGCCCAAGAGGAAGCCAATACACCAAGACAGCAGGGTTTACTATACAGAAATAGTTTTTATTTCCACATAGTACTAAACGGGAGGAATTTCTCAAATCCGCCTCCCTGAGAATTTGGGAGACAGGGTTTTTAAAGACAGTTTGGCATAGGCAATTGAGTTGTAGAAATTGTATTCTTTGCTGACCAGGTTCTTAGGTGGGGGTCACAAGACCAGTTGAGTCAGTTCCTTGGTCTGGACCACTGGTCTGGGTGGGTCAGCCTTTCCACTGGAAAGCAGGACCTGGAAGATATCTCAGAAACTACCCCTAGGTTTCAAAAAGGATATGTTATCTATGGAGAAAGCCAAGACTCTTTATGACCACCAGCTGTGTGGCTCCAGAGTGGCAATTATAGAGAAGCAAACAGGGGGACGGACGGTGGCTAATTATTTTTAGCTAGGCCCTTACCACAGTTCTTGCCTTGCGCCCTTTATCAATTTGTAAAGGTGGTTTCACCAGCATGTAGATGCATTCAACAACCAAGCAGCTAACCAAAACTCATTGTCAGAGAGTTTTTATATTGCTTGATCTCCAGTATAAGCCCACTCTTTTCTGGAGGCTGTGAGGTGAGGCTGAAAGTCCTAATTCTCTCACCCTCTAATCACTTGGTCTTCCTAGTGACCAGCACCATCCTTAGGCTAATTAAGGGACCCTCCCTGAGTTACCTCATTAGCATAACCTCCCATATGATCAAAAGGCTTGTTATGACTAACAATAGATACTCCCCATCACTTAGGAAATTAAAAGGGTTTTAGGAACTTTGTATGAAACAAATATTAACAGAAGATAACAAATATAACAAAATTATATTACTCTATTATCCTTTCACTCAGAAAATGACAAGGGATTTAGGAGCTCTGTGTCAGAAATGGAGACAAAGACCAAAAATACATATATTTCTTATTACACACCATATGACAAAGTACTATGTTCCCATTTAAAATGATGTTTATATCCTGAATCATGTCAGAGTAAAAAGAAAAAAGAAATAAAAATATTAAAAGAGAAATAAATTTTACTTTTTTAAGTAAAAAAATAAAAATAAAAATAAAATGATGTTTATAGCTTTTACAATATAGGAAAATGCTTACGAATCCCAGTAAAAAATGCAAGGTACCAGGCCAGGCTCACACCTGTAACCCCAGTGCGTTGGGAGGCTAAGGCAGGAGGATTGCTTGAGGCTAGGAGTTTTGAGACCAGACTGGGCAACATAGTGAATTTTTTTTTAATATTAAAATTATTCAGGTTTAGTGGTATACGCCTGTAGTCCTAGCTACCTGGGAGGCTGAGGTGGGAGGATCACTTGCGCCCAGGAGTTTGAGGCTTCAGTGAGCTATGATCACACCACTGCACTCTAGCCAGGGTGACACAGACTCTATCCCTAAAAATAAAATAATAAACAAAAATGCAAGGTACCAACTGAATATTCCTTTACCTATCCATCCAACAAATATTTACTGAATGCCTACTATGTGCTGTATACTGCACAAGGATCACAAAGAAGCTGATAGTCTGGGATAAAAGATAGGTGTGGGCCAGGCGTGGTGGCTCACGCCTGTAATCATAGCACTCTGGGAGGCCGAGGTGGGCAGATTGCTTGAGGTCAGGAGTTCGAAACCAGCCTGAGCAAGAGCGAGACCCCATCTCTACTATAAATAGAAAGAAATTAATTGGCCAGCTAACATATATATAGAAAAAATTAGCCGGGCATGGTGGCGCATGCCCGTAGTCCCAGCTACTCAGGAGGCTGAGGCAGAAGGATTGCTTGAGCCCAGGAGTTAGAGGTTGCTGTGAGCTAGGCTGACGCCACAGCACTCACTCTAGCCTGGGCAACAAAGCGAGACTCTGTCTAAAAAAAAAAAAAAAATAGGTGTTACAGATACTAGTATGAAATCACTTTTGTCAGACCCAGAATTAACAGGGCCAGGAAGGCCCAAATGAAAGAAGGCTCATGCTTACAGGTCTAAGAAGAACTGTTTCCAAGGACTTTCTAAAAATCTTTTCACATCCTTCAATCATCTCCTGCTTTAATAGGGTTTATCACTAGACATTCTTTAGGACTGCAGTAAGTCAGATCAGATGGTCTCAGAGAACACCTGCTCAATAATGGCATCTCCAACAATGAACTGACAACTCTGGTTTTGAACCTCTGGAACCAGTGAATTCTGTTTCTAATGAATTCTGTTTATGTAAATCTCTTTTTTTGCTAATATTAATATAAGCTCCCCTTACCCTTCCCTCACTGAATGCACTGGTGGTTTACAATTTCATGCATTCTGGATTATAATTCTTATTTCTATTCCTGAGTAAACCCAACATATTTAGAGATAATTTTCTCTAGTGTCTTTCTTTAAGCTGACATAGGCATTTACAATATAGTGTGATAATGCTATTACACCACAGGCATAAGCAGAAGTATTCCAAGAGCACAAAGGAGGAAT